CTAAAGCTTCAAGAATCATGCCCTAAGACCCCTTGAGCTGAGAATGCCATTGATTTGAAATTGGTAACTTGAAATTGAAGTTTCTTCAAAAGTCAGAATTTAAAATCCTTGATTTAGCTTCTAAACATATTTTTACTACCCGTTTTTGCTTCAAAACATGTTTAGTGAACTTCCAAAAGTGATTAGCATAGAAAAACGCGCGTTTTGGATGACTTTTGATCAAAATAGAAGTCACACTTTTCTTGTTTGCAACTTCACACGATTTCCCTCCAAACTTAATCATTTCACAAGCTTGAGCATTTCATTTGATTCCATATAAATAGTGGGTTATCCCTCACTCATTTCCTCAAGCTTGAATATCCAAAATCACCCTGCCAAACTCATTCCATAACTCATTTTTCTGCAAATTCAAAGTCAGTGTTCAAGCCAAGCTTGAATATCCAAAATCACCCTGCCAAACTCATTCCATAACTCATTTTTCTGCAAATTCAAAGTCAGTGTTCAAGCCTTTTTCAATCCATTTTTTCTATCAATTCACTTTCCTTGAACTTCCCTGAAGCTAACGATACAATTACCTTCAAGAATCGTGACCTATATTGATCCATAGAAGTCCAGTTTCAGAGCTCTTCAACTCAACTTCAATAGGTAGATTTCTCCAACAATTCTTCTAAACTTTGATATCATTGTGAAGCTCCCATTTCCCTGGTTCTAGTTACAACACTTTCTTTTAACTGGAAACACGTTTTGGCCATGAATTTTCAAATTCCCTTTCAAAACTTTCCTTCCAAATTGCTTGAGCTACAGTTTATATAATTTTTTTGCGAAGGTGCGGTTGTCTTCGTCTTGATGAGACGAAGCGAATGGCATAGGTCTCGTGCTCTAATTTTACAATTTGAGTGACCTGGTTTTGGGACTGGCTGGAGGTTGAAGATGACCAACGTGTCATCTTCCAACCAATGATGGTGTGCCATTTGTGCTTTTTGAATTTCTGATTTAATTAGTGATCTAGTGTTTTATTCACTAAAGTTCATAACATACACAGCACGCCAGGTCCACTTGATCTGTTTACTAACGCGTTTTGACAATGATCAGATGGTCCATATTTTTTGGTTTGATATTTTATTTTCTGATTTTTCATTTTAATTTATTTAAATTTAAAAAAAATCCTAGAAAATTCATTTTAAGTCCAAAAAATTTGAGGGAGTATTTAGGATCGAAACAATCAGGTTGGTTGTTGGTCTAGCAGAAATCAACAGTTGGCACATATGTCAGATGGACGTGAAGTGTGCATTCCTAAATGGACCCTTAGATGAAGAAGTCTATGTTAAACAACCAGTTGGGTTTGTGAAACATGACGAAGAAAGAAAGGTGTACAGGCTACATAAAGCCCTGTATGGTTTGAAACAAGCTACAAGGACTTGGAATAAGAAAATTGATAGTTTTCTAAGGGAGAAGGAATTTGTGAAGTGCATAACTGAACATGGAGTATATGTAAGAAGAAGCAAGAGTAAATTGCTTATACTATGTCTCTATGTAGATGATTTGTTGATAACAGGTAGCTGCAAGAATGAGATCGAAGACTTCAAAGTTGATCTTAGCAAGGAATTCGAAATGTCTGATTTGGGTGAGATTTCATATTTCCTTGGTATCGAATTCTACAAGAGCAGTAGAGGTTTGATGATGCATCAAAGAAGATATGCAGGAGAAATTCTCAAGAGGTTTGAGATAGAAGAATGCAACGCAACTTCGACACCTGCAGAACCAAGACTGCAACTGTCGAAAGATGCAGATGAAGATGATGTTGATCCAACCCAATACAGAAGACTTATTGGATCATTGAGATACCTTTGTCATACAAGGCCTGACTTAGCATACAGCGTAGGTATGGTAAGTAGATTCATGCAGAAGCCAAAGGTATCACATCTAGCAGCTGTGAAGAGGATACTAAGGTATCTTAAAGGAACTTTCGATTATGGCATTTTGTTTCCTGCAGTTGATAAAGGAAAAGAATGCAAGCTAGTGGAATACACTGATTCGAGTTGGTGTAGTGATGTTGAAGATCGAAAGTCAACAGCAGGATATGTGTTTATGCTAGGTGGTGCAACAATTGTTTGGAGTTCGAGAAAAGAACCAGTAGTGACATTATCATCATGTGAAGCAGAATACATAGTTGCTTCTCTTTGTGCATGTCAAGCAACCTGGATGGTGAACTTGGTCGAAGAAATAACAGGGAAAAATCATAGAGCAATTACCATGAAGATAGACAGCATGTCAGCTATCAATCTGGCAAAGAACCCAATAGCACATGGTCGAAGTAAGCACATCGAAATGAGGTTCCATTATCTTCGAGAGCAGGTAGCAGATGGGAAGATGAATTTAGAACACTGCAGAACTGAGAATCAGATTGCAGACATCATGACGAAGGGAGTGCAGGTCGAAGTATTCATAAAGTTAAGGACCATGATGAACATAGACAGTTTAGACACAATGAATTAGGTGGTGTGTTAAATTGTAATTCATATGTGTCAAAAGAAGATTTGATTTGTTTAGATTTAAATAGATTTGAATTTAAATCTAGATTAGATTTGATTTAGTAAAGAGATATTTTGGGCTTGGGTTTAGCTTAGGGAGCAAGCTAACCTAAATCTATAAATAGAGGGAGTAACCTCTATTTTGTAATTTAAGTCATTCACAGTATTTTGCAGTTGCAAAGTGAATTAATAAAGATTCCACAGTTTGTGGGCAGAATAGAAATTCTGCAGAAATATTTCTAGTGTTTTTTTTATTTGTTTGTCATAACTAATCATCAGTGGTGGTCGAAATTCATCATAGAGTATTGGTGGATTTCCAACAAAATTGAGACCATGCAATGTGTAACTGTATCTTGAGATTAGCTCGTGTCTTCTATATCTTCTGTTACTTGTTGTGAAGGTAAGTCGTTGGATATGGCTTTAAGGTTTATTATATTATATAAAAGAGTAATAGCCACTGAAGTTTGGGGATGATGATAGTTCCAACAAGGATCAACTAGCTTGGTTATTAGTTTGAAGTACCATGAACACAAGCAACCGAGATGTGATTACAACATAATATTAGTATCAATCCATAATATTAGTTTGAACTTCCCCATCTCATGACAATCCCGCATACTCTTCGATTCTTCGCAACCCTAACGGTTCTCCCAGACAGCAAATTTAATATACCAAAAGCCATTGCTAACTTTTCACTGTGTCCACATTGAATCACTTCCTTCTCCATAGCATCTTCATTAATCAATGCATACCTCAACTTAGTTAGATCAATCTCCATTCTTCATTTGCAAACTCAATTTTCTCAGCAACACGTCTATCGTTTTTGCTTGAGAGTGTTTAGTGTTCCCAGCAACAAAGATAATAAACTTCCCTCCGAACTCTATCCAACTACAACCTGGATTCCATTTGAATCTTCTTTTATGCACCCCAAATTGTAGCATCTGGTTCAATTGGCATAGACACGATGAACTTCTACACCTTTGATAGATTTCCCGCGCGGGAAAGGAGATCCACCATGCAGGCATAGCGCTCTAACTTCTGTTGGATACCACATTCATTTCTCATAAAATTAAAGAATCTCCAACCCTTGTGTAGCACTCCAGAATGACTGCAAGAATTAAGTATGGCGGCAAAGGAGGACTCGTCAGGTTTGATACCCGCAATCCTCATCTCGTTGAATGTGGAAATTGCCTCCTTCCCAAATTCGTGCATGCCGTATCCAGGTATCATAATAGTCCATGAAATTAGATCCTTTTTAGGATTCATATCAAAAAGTAACTGTTCACGAAAAAGTAACCCACATTTGGCATACATATCAACAGGTGCACAAGCTACATGCAAATCTGAAAAGTACCCTCTTCTTAATATGTATCCATGTATCTCTCTTCCTTTGTCTAGAGCAGCCAAGCCTGCACAAGCTGGAAGGACACAAGCCATTGTAATCGAACATTAGGCCTAACACCCTTACTTTGCATTTCATCAAATAATCGAATAGCATCATCGTATAGAATAACTGTGAAGCAAAACTGTGAAGCAAAACCCGGTTCAGCATCAGCAGAACCACCTACCCCACTAAACCTTCATAAAGAAGAACTAATTTTATGGGTATACTACTTGTCACACCAACATCCTCTTCCACCATGACCGCCACGTGTAGACCTATCACCTCTCTCTCTATTGGTTTCTTCACTTTTCTTGTTCTAATAATCATCAGTCAGCAGAGGCAAATTTGGAATTCGGATCATTGGTAGAGATAGGCTTGGAGGCGGTGTTGATCGAAGGTAGAGAGTTTCTTGAACCTTTCAAGACGAGCTTCTAGGTGCATCTTAAAAGTCTACGTATCAAACGGCATTACCTAGAAAATAAACTTTTTATTTTCGAAAAGAAATTAATTTCTGTAAGAGTTTGGAATATTTCCAACATTAACAGAGACAAAAGGCTACCCTGGTAATCTTCCATTTTTATCTTATTCTATGTTTCCTTTCTGTAAATTAAGATAAAGATTACACTCAATGAAAACAATATCTGAAACATGAAATTTATCAAAAGAAAATACATTAATGATTTCATTTACTACATCAAGATGTTGATTTTACAGGCCATAATAATGCATATGTTACTTTGAATCATTTAACATACAGAAAACTCACTCAATATATTCAACTTAGAACAGACATCATTACTTGAGTGGAGAATTTGGCTTCCCTGCAATCAGAGGATCTCAAATTCACGCAAACGGAAACATTAGTGGTCGTTCGATCAAAGATCAGATGACTAAAAAAAATACATAGTTTAACTTTAATTTTAAAATTCAAAAATCAACTTTAAATTGAATCGTTTGATCTTGACCAAACATCCACCGACATCCCGACTGCATGAATGCGGAGAATCCCAACTATTGGACAGCCAGATCCGTGGAATAGTGGATAGAAGCGGATAAGTTATCCTGGATACAGTTCATGTGAGAGACTACCAAACTAACCCCTTTCTTCTAAATCTATCAACATGATCAGTGCTCATTCGAGATTTTTCTGGTTTGTCAGGTTTTTTAGACTTTTTAAGCCGGCTATCTAAACTGTTTCTAGAAGCTTCAGGAATTTCTGTACTCAATTCAGAAGTACTAGAAGTTCCAGTTTCTGATTCTTTGCTAGCTTTGTTGCCTTGATTCTCAGTTTCTACAGTATCCTTTTCAGAACCATTTGCAGTAGTTGCTTTAGGTTTTCCAAGTGCCTGTACAAATTTCTTTAGGTGTTTAATGAACTCAGGGTAAAGCTCGAGATTACAATGTCCACCGCCACTTACCCACAAGGGTTCATACTTTACCTTGCAAAGCTCCCACAGCTGTTTTCCATGGGACACGTCAACGACTTCATCTGCTGTACCCTGACCTTGGACAAAATGAAGTCATTACTACAATCTATAAAATTTGAGCGGATCAATAACAGATTACATATTTCGGGGAGGGAGAGGGGAAGTGTTACTTACATGGATAACCAAAACAGGACATTTGACCATACCGACTTTATCAATATTCTGAAAAGAAGTAAAAACGAACCATATAAGTCACGAAGTATTGAAGGAAGCATATTGAAATACAATCTGTAAGAAAACTATACCTTGTAAATATCAAACCAATATGTTCGTTTTACAGGGTATAGTACTCTCAACCCTGACAAAATTGGACTATGCAACACAACGCCTCTCAATTCTGATATCCTTGAAGCAAGATCAAGTGTGGGACCACTACCAACAGATTGACCGTACAATATCAATTGTTCATCTTTCACCCCATATTGCTCCTTCAGGCATTTATAGGCAGCTTCAATATCTGCGTATGTATTATATTCAGATGGCTGTTTCAAAGGAAAAAAGGATGACTGTCAACAATACAAGCAATGTCACTTTGAAAGAACCATCAAAAACAACACGATAGTATTAAAAAAAGAAAAATAGTTTCTCTATTCGATGGAGATTAACTTGGTCATCAGCTTTAGCATGCAACTGAAATCCTAGTAAGTTCCACGATTTTGGGGTTCATGTTCAGCAAAAAATTGTGAATTGGCAACCTGCAAGGTAACCAAAATATACTTGCCTATTATCTAGACAAAACTCAAATAGATGAACTGCATAACCTCAACACAAAATTAGGATAGATTTGACTTTCTACGCCAATGGCTAGGGCTTAGAGCATGATTCAATTAAAGACTTTCTAAGCCTATGGCTAGGGCTGATGATGACATATGTATGTGTTCGGATGATTGTTGGTTAAATGTGATTTTGAACAAACTTATTTTTGGTTAAAATTGAATTTGAAGTTAAATAGTTTTTGTTTGGTTTGCTTTAATCTAAAAATAAAATGGATATATAACCTACTAAAAAGTTTGTGTCAATGCAATCACTTCTAGTGAAACTCAATTCTGGAAAATATAGCATTTTCCATATTCCAATTGCTCTACCTCTTATCTCATTTGCATATTAATCCCTCTCCAGCTTATTCTCTGCCTTTACTTTCCACTTCTTCCCCTTCTTCATCTCTACACATGCATTCATGTTTCCCAGCACACCTGATCCAATTCTCCCATATAACCACCTCCCTCCTGTTCCAATTTTATTCTCGATCTCATCTCATGTATATACATGCTACAAATCTATAATTATTCTATCTCGTTTCACGAGAGATTTTTTCAGAAATGGTTAAACTAATACAGTTCACATCATTCTTGCACTGGCTTTACCTCTTCAGTGGCAAATTCAAGAACTAGAGGTGAATAGCACCTCCCTATATGGCTCCTTGACGAATATATCTATACGCAGCAACTAACAACTTCCAAGCTTTGAATCCACTGATACATCAATATTTTACAAGCTTCACAAAGCTATATAGACTGAAACATGCCCTCGTGTCTGGCTTGACAGGCTCCCCGAGGCCTTTCTCGGTTTACTTTTCACTCGTGTCTACGTTGATGACTCTCCCTCATGTCCAATCATAAAAGACAAAACCAGAAAACATCAAAACCAACAAACTAATTTATACTTTATGAATCTTTTTACATATATATACCCCACTGAAAATTTGAGATATTAAATGCACCCACTAATATTGAAAAGACAAACATTTTAAATGGTGCTAAAAATATATTTAATTAAAACAATAAATACACCTTAAACGTTGTAACTTTTTCTTAAAAATGGAACCAAAAAAAATCCTCCAAAAATTCTCTTAAAGTTAGAACCAGAGGGAGTGTCATATTACAGGCACTAATTCAGCCTTAATTGAGCAGCTCATTGTTAAGCTAAATGATCTCTCCAGTCTTAATTGAGCAACTTGGGTTCTTAATAACATTCTTGGCATGTAGGTGAAACACCTGCCTAACTGCTATCACCAACTCAGCAGAACTAAATACACTTGGGATTTGCTCACTGAAACCAATATGGCTTATGCTAAATGCATTTCAACACCTACGGTAGGTGGTTGCAAGTTCAAAAAAATTGGCAACAGCTACGTAGTGAACAAGTGTCTATAGATCAGTTGTGCGGCTTGATTAAAAAGCCCTGAAATCATCGATAATGCAGGTTCCGGAGGTTGGTGCATAAAACTTTTAACCTATTGTTATGGATAATGCACCAAACTACAAAGTAGTCAAAGAAACCTTGATGGAAAAGGGAAGAACTAAGAATCTATACAGAATAATGTGTGAAGCTCATTCCATTGATTTGACATTGGAGGATTTTACGACTACCTTTATTTTCATAATTGTGCATTTAACAGATTTTTTTAATTTAATGATTAAAGCTTGATTTGATTGGATCAAGACGATCTAAGGAATTAGTGTTCTCGGTTTAATGTATCCAGACCTAGTAAAATATACATCAATTACATAGGTATAACTTGAACTGATTCCAAGTTCAACTACATAGGAAAAAAGACCTTTTGAGATTCTGACCCTAGCAGCATTAACATGTTGAGATTCTTAATTTTTGTAGATTTAATCTTTGTTTTCAATTCACTTAAAAATCATTTGTTAGCTTCTCCATTCATAAATTAGTAATTATAATTTTAGGTTTGAAAATAAATAATGTTTGATAGTTGGCACTTAACAAAGTCCTCGTTAGGAATGATGACTAGTCTAGTACACTAGTCAAATGACAAACAACAGTTAAATGAAAGAAGCATGTTCGTAATTAAAGAATAATGAAGAATCCAACAAATAAAAGAATACTTCTAGTCTCTTGGTACTCTTTTTTTTCTTGCATTTTTTTCAGTTTCTTTAATTCCCTCTAAAGCTTCTGAAAGGACACCATGGCCCAATGGATTTGATGACTTAATCATTGCGCCCAAGTCACACACCTTACACACTTACAGCTTCTAGAAGGTTGTGGAAGCTAAGGGAATAATAACTATTTAGGATAATCCCTGAATTTTAGGGAATATTCTATTATATAAGGAAGGGGAGGGAAATCAATAATTCAATTAGAAAGTTTGTTAGGTGAGATACTCTCTGGTTTAGGAGCACTTCTGCTCTGGTTTAGGAGTTCTTGGAACTCTGGTTTAGTTTCTGTTTCATCCACCATTATAAGAGCTCTAAGCTCCACCGATTGCAGTAAATAATACAGTGTTCAGCATAATTTTCTGGGCTCTATCAGCTTCAAAAGGCAAACACTATTTCAGGTCAAGATAAGATGTGTGTAGGAAGAAACTAGAACCGATATGAATTTGTTAAACATGAAATATAGAAAAGTTTGACTAAAGGAATATCTTAGTATTAATAGAGTGGTAGACTTAGGCTGAAAAGTTAAGCAACTAACCTTCCCTGTCGACTGTCCATAACCAGAGTAATCATACCTGAAGAAAGAAAATATGTTATTAATATGTAATATAATTCAACAAAAAGATATAAAGTGCTATCACGAAAGAAGATTTTGAAACAGAACATGAGAATATTTCATATTTTACACAAATGAGAATAAGAAAAATATTATTACTTTAAGATCGACACTTATTACTTTATTACTCCCAATCACAATTTTATGTCGCTAAATCTTTTTGAAGAAACTAAAGAACGAATCTCCTCAAGTGATATCTTGGAACTGCAAATTTGCAATAACCTAATGATATAACAATATTAAGCAAAAAAAAAAAAAAAAATCCATCACAACAAGAAGTTCGGCCGAGCATAAAACATAGTCGATCTATACATACAATACAACACAGAAGTTTGATTCACTCATCATCAGGTACTTCTTCAAAAATAATACCAGGAAGATAGATAACATGTAAGCATTTATTCACTCGATCTTTTCCATAAAAAAATATTATGCTATAATTCATCTAAACAGCAATAGAATGAATGGTGTATGATGTGATGTATCTTAGGATCTTCAATAAAAAGTTAGATTCTTTCCTCTTTTAACACCGATACTATCATTAAGATTATGAAACTAGTATAATTTATCTAGAAATGATTGAAACCTACCTTAAAGCATTTATTCCATGATCACAAGTTTAAAACCACCACAAAAAGCATCTTTACCAATTCCATGCATAAAGTATTTTGATTAAAAAACAGAGAATCAACCAATCATAAGACTAACAAAACAACAACAAAAGACACCATCTTCACTATAGCAAGATCCAAAAGAAGGGTTGCACCCAGCGCAGATCTACTATAAGCAATCTTACCTTAAAAATATACCAAATCCATAATCTCCTAATCACATAACATCTACTTCAATAGTTTCATCAAATCTCTGTTCCTTTTAATTAATTAATTAATTAATTAAACTAAAAAAGGAAAAAATCAGTTAATGAACAAAAACAGCATATTCCCGTTCCATTATCATCATAGATAATCACTCAATTATTGCAAAAAAAAATCATTAATCTTGAGATCATTAATACTACTTCTTATATATTATTCAATGAATTTAAATAGTAAACCAGAGAAATATTTGACTTTAATCATAATAATTAGTTGAAGATATAAAACATTCTATACTAACTAATCATCGTCAAGATAAACTCAAATTAATTATGATTCTAACTACCATATATCTAAAAAAATCCATAAAAATCTCAAATAGCAGCATAAGAAATTAAAACAGTTAAAAACAAGAAAAGGAAAAAAGGAAAGTACCCCATAACATTAAGGCGAAGTCGATTACTCAATTCAACAAAGAGTTCAAACATTTGACCTAAATCCGCGGCATTTCCATGAGAGTAAAGCATGGTGCATGCAGGTCTATGGTACTTAACATACACCGCCGCGATTTCGTTTCCTCTCCGTGTCTTAAGCTTCACTATATCCACGTTCTCCTTCATCGGAACCTCCGGAATCGAGAGCTTCGTCGCCGGAGAATCATTTCCGGTGGATGTTTCAGAAACGACGACTGTGTACGACGGTGGTTGCGGCGGGAAGAACGCGAACTTAGCAGCAATCGAGGACGTTACTCCGCCCATGGTTGCTTTGATTCATAAAGACGGCGGTTACGGCCGTTGCGGCGGGGAGATTTCAGATTTGGAAAGGAAGAAAGAGCTGCGCGTGGAATTTTTGTTTGTGCTGGTGTACTAATTTAAGTTTTTTTCTATATTAATTTTTTATGTTACTAATTTTTTTGCTGAATTTCAATTTGAAAGAGAAAGAAAGAAAGAAAGAAGAAGAAGACAGAGACTCTTCAATGATGGGTTGTATTTGTCGACTTTTGCTTCTTGCTTTATTTTTTAAATTTTAATTATTGATTTTTTATTGTATGATGAGATTGAAAACAAACAATGATAACAAATAATAATTTAGATATGTGGGTGTACAATAGGTAAATTTCTAGTGTATATTTTTTTGAAGTTAAAGTTTTATTTTTAAAAAAAGGAAAAATAGAAAAATAAGAAACTTTTGTATGAGATAGATTTTCTACTCTTTGACCAAGTGGATTGGGTGGTATATAGATCATTATGGGAGTAATAATTAAAATTGTTTTAATATTGTGAAATAGTTCGATCAAAATAATACTCCTTCCGTCATATTATTAGTTGTATTAATCATTTCACGTATATTAAAAAATAATATTTATGTTGTTTTAAAATATATGTGGTTTAAAGTTTATATATATATATATATATATATATATATATATATATATATATATATATATATATATATATATATATATATATATATATATATATATATATATATATATATATATATATATATATATATATATATATATATATATATATATATATATATATATATATATATATATATATATATATATATTAAAAAAATATATAATTATATTATCTTAAGACATTATATTTTTATTAAATTAGTCTTATTAATTTATTGAAAATAGTGTAAAGAGTAATAATTATATAACACAATTAAAAAAATAGTTATCATTACTACGTTAAAAAATAAAAATGAAACGAATTTTTTCTCTAAAACGACACTCTTTTTGAAATAGAAAAAGTAATAAATAAAATAGAAAATAATAATTTTAATAAATTATTATAATTAATTATTAATTTATTCAAATTAACATTAATATTAAATAAAAAATATAATAAATTAAAAATTTATTACAATTGAAAGATCGAATATAAAATTACACTGATAATATAAAATAACAAATATTTTAAAATAAATTTTTATACTAAATATAACACTTATTTTAGAAAAAAATAATAATAATTTATTAATAGAAGGGCTTATACATTAAATTGAAGCTCACAATTACTTTAAGTGCTTCGCAAGGATATTTAATGATTGTTTATTAGAGATTAAATATAAAACTATCATTAGTTCATATTACTCCTTTATAATATGTATCTTCTTTGAAATTTTCATATTTTTTAAAATAATAATTAATTATATTCATTTCAATATATAAATTAAAATATAATAAATAAGAATATGTTAGTAGAAAAAATAATAAATATATATTGGTATTTTAAATAGATAAATAATTTAAAACAAATAAAAATTAAAAAAATATTTATTAAAAGATAAAAGAAATATTTTATAAATAATTAAAATAAAAATTAAACTTTTTTTAACATTCGACTATTAAATTTCTGTTTACGATTGATGAGTTTGTGAAAACTACCATGACTTTAATTTTAAATCTACTTTATCAGGATTTAATCACCTTAATTTATAATATTAAATATTTATTAAAATAATAATTTTTCTAATTACGTCTAAAATATATTTGGCTATATTTAAATTTTATTATAATATTAACATTTTTTTTTGTTTCTATAAATTTATCCAAAAATAATAATATCTATTTTTATTTTAAATTCAATTTATCTCTCTCACAAATCTCCATAATATGTGATTAATTTCACATTATTGCTTCGTGAAAAACTCCACTGCATAAATTAATGGCCATGTTATTAGAGTTCATGTACGGGTAGAAATTTAAATTTCACTTAAATTAAGTTCGGGAAAGTGTAGTTAAACTAAAAGTCTATTTGTAAGATAAAATAGATTTTATAACTTTTTAAGTTTAAATATGTTTTTGATTTTTATAAATTATTAAATTTTAATTTTGGTCATGATATGTTTTAGTTCTTATAACATTATTATACATGTAGTTTTAGTCTTTTCTATTAAATCGATGTGTATTTTTGAATGATTAATTTATAGATATATTTAGAACATTATAAGAAGTTTTTCAAAAAAAAAAAGAAATTCAAAATTTGATTTTTAAATAGAAATTTTCATTACTTTTATTAATATTTTTTAAAATTTTAAAAATTCGTATTTAATTCTTATCATTTTAAAAAAACTCTAAAATTTGATAAAGAAACATTTTATAGTATTCTAAACACGTTTAAAAAAAAATTCAAAAATTTAAAAGTTTAAGGATAATTAAATAGTTTTAAAAATTTTGAAAAATAGTAGGAATAAAACTCCACGAGTAAAAAAAAATTATAGACTAAAATTTGTCCTTTTTAAATAGGGATTAAAAATAAAATTTGAGATATTTATAGAGAGTAAAAACATATTTAACCATAACTTTTATAGTCTTTCGGTCTAGATATATAAAATAAAATAAAATAACCCTATCTGTTAAATATATTGTACCTAAAAGAATGCTTCTTATATTTCTCACATTTCTTAATAAAATCCGCATTATCTTTCATCATGGTCAGTCAATAGTAACCGACCCTTTATAACTTGTAGGTAAGAGGTCTTCTTTTGTTCTACCTTTCACATACTCCTTCATGAACCTTTATGAGGACCAAGGTGACCTCATTCTCGCTCAGATATCTTAGCATTGGAGAAGTCATTTCCATCTTATTAAACTTTCTTGCTATCATAGTGTATTTTTCCGTCAATCTTATGGTATTTTTTTCCCTCTCCCTCATTTAAATGAAGCTCTTTTGTCGTCAGATAATGCATAATTGGTGACATCCAACATGTGATATTGATGACACATGATGCATTTATATTTGTTTTCTCATTGCGCATGGGGGGGGGGGGGGGGGGGGGGTGGGGAGGAGCAACTAAGGTCTCTTATAATATTGTTGTGGCGTGTTCAAACTTCTTGGTGTTGGTGAGCTTGGATTGGAGACCAGGATGGGTGTTTTCTCTCTATGCATGTAGACTACTTTAAAGAATTTGAAATGCTTAGTTAAGTCTTGTACTCTCTAAAGGTATTTGACTAGACGAGTTTCCTTTGTCTGGTGGTCTTCAGCAATCTGATTGGTGATCAATTAAAAATCGCTTTGAGCTATGAGGTCGAGCTATGAGGTTTTATGCAGTCATTTCTCTAGCTAGATTCATAAAGTGATAGTGCCATTGTATTTAGCCTAATTATTGATGGCTCTAAACTTAAATTTCAAGGATTGCTCTATGAGAATGTTGTTTAGACCTTCTAGCACCACCTTATCACCACTTCTTTTCAAATCCGACACACCATCCACTGACAATGTCCATACCTGGGAAACTTTTTTCCAACCAGGGAGCTGAATTCCTATTAGTACCTAAGGTTTTATGATGCCTCTACCTCTAAGCAGTAATTGGATGTTGTATTCTTCTAATTCGATAGACCATGAAACCATCCTTTCTGGAAGTCACGCTTCTTTAATATCTCGTGAATGGTATACTTATTTTTTTATCATCACTATATGCCTTGAAAGTAAGACATCGACTTTCTCGCCATTATAACTACCGCCAACACCGATTTCTATATTTTTTGGTATCTTAGTTATACACCCTTGAGCATTTTGCTAACAAAATAAATTGGTTGTTCATTGTTATCCTTTTCTTTGATGAGCATAAAGTTCATTGCTCTATATGTAAATTCAGGCTTCTTTGATGTCTAGCCAATGAGATAGTTTATTTTTACCATCACTATATACCATTGAAATTAGACCCACATCTTTCTTGTCATTATAATTACCGCCAATGTCAACCTCTCTATTTTCTATTATCTTAGCTTAGCACTCTTGAACACCTTGTTAACAAAATAAATCAGTTGCACGTTGTTATCCTTTTCTTGGACGAGCACAAAGATCTTGTCTTGTTCATAAAATTAGGCTTCTTTAGCATCTAGAAAATGGGATAATTAGTTTTTATCATTACTTTATGCCTCTAAAAGTAGGGCCTCAACTTTCTTGTCGTTATAATTACCTCTAGTGCTATCCTCTCTATTTTCTGGTATCTTTGCTTTGCACTCTTGAACACCTTGCTGACAAAATAAATAAATTACTCACTATTATCCTTTTCTTGGGCGAGCACAAAACTCATTAATTTCCCTATCTGTTACACACAAATAAATGAATAGTGGTGCATCCTCTATTAGGAGAGTAAATACTAGTGGAGTGGTAAAAAAGGTCTTCAACCTCGTGAATGCTTCTTCACATTCGTCCATCCACTCAAACTTCTCCCTCTTTCTTAGGGTTGCAAAGAAATGAAAAGACTTGTGTGTCACCCTAAAATAATTAGATTATTTATTTAATTATTTGATTAATTTATGATGAGTTTTTGTGACGTATTTGTGATGCTTATGTGATGTCTTGGTGAGCATGATGTTTGATATGATGTTTTGTGTGATGTATGACGAGGTACTGAGAATTAAGATGATAATGGGTATTTTTAGAATATTTTGGATAATTAGAATAATTATTTGGAATTATTTTACTTAGTTAAATATAATAATAATAATAATAATAATAATAATAATAATAATAATAATAATAATAATAGATAGATAAATAGTGTAATACGGTGTGAGAACTGACTTGGGTGTTTTGCGTGTGATCGTAATTGTTACGGATAGCAAGAGTCGTCACTGACTTTTCTTTTATCCAACAAAAGAAAGGTTGAAAAGAACGGGAAAGAACTTTAGGGATGTTTTCTTAAGTTCGGGGACAGGTTATGAAAAGGGAAGGTGTTAGCACCCTTTTCATCCGTATTTTATCTACGGGCTCTTAGTTGCTTGCTAGAT